ACGCGCATACCCTGATTGCTCGCTGGACGGGTGGCAAACACGCTGGCGGGTACTTGCCAATTCGGATGGTCCAGGACTTAGAACTTTATATGCCGAATATTGTGGAGGGACAGAGAAATCCTTCCATTCCTTGCTTGAGCCATACTCCCGTCGCCGTTACCAAAACAACAACATCGACAGTCTTCAAAATTCTGGTTGCCTCGAGCTCTCATCGCTCCCGCATCTGTGTCGACTCTGAATAGGCCTTATATGCGAACACAATATCCCCGTGAGATTCCTGAGTCAACGCTCCACAGTCAAGGCATTCCAATGTCTCAAAACAAGTCAGAACTGATCCGCGATCAGATAACCGTCTTGTTTGCCTGCAATATCTGCGAGGAGAGCTTCTCATTTGTCGATAAACTGCAGGCACACGAAGCAAATCACACGGAAAATCCTCACACAAAGACGCAGGGTGAAGCAGAGTGCACTCTCATGACGTGCTCAAGCCCAACTGCCCATACTGAGTTCCCGGATCGGAACGACAACGCTTCCTTCCGGCAGGACCAGGAGCGTACCACTCGCCCACTGAAGAGCCCTGTCTTGCAGCATGTCCAGCGTGGTCCGGGTCATATGGAGAACTACAACCGCTGCAGCTCGCTCGGGGCATGGTCGTGCGTATCAGTGCGCCTGGAAGACCCGCTCGCCATGTCATTGCCCAACAGCCTGGAGAATTCGGACTGCTCGGCACGGCGACACCAGCTCGTCGCGAGGGCCACAGGTGTGCTGCCTAATTCATATCTTGACACGTCTTTCACCGGTCTCTGCAGAGATGAGGCTCCTGGAAACAAGCAGGGTATTCGGCTCCCACCAATTTTGTCAGACGGCAATTTTCAGACAAGAAGTCTTCCGTCGCTTCGTGACGTCTTTGGCCTACAAGTTCAACCTTGATAATCATACACATCAAGATTGCGGGTGTTGGCTCATTTCCATCGCAAGATCGCTTGTGGAAAGCTTGTGGGGAAGCGAAACCGAAGAAGGTGGCCGTTTGTATTCGACTTTCTTCTAGTGCCTCAATGGCGGTGGATAACAAAATCAGAGGAATCAGGAAAAGGTATTGCTATCTCGTTACTCAAACACTGCTGCCCCTCAGCTAGTACCTTATTCAGGTGAATTGGGAGATGAGGATCTTGGTCCAGCAGCTCGACACAATGGCTTTCAATGAAATGCATTTTTCACACTGCAACGTACAGTCGCGAGTCTGATGTGACCCAGAGTGACTCTTTCGGGGAACTTTAACACTGAAAAGTTCTATGAACAGGAGATACTGCCCATGAGGACCACTATCGAGATCTTGAACAATCGTTGCTTAGCGACGGCCTTATATAGTCACAATGGTACTCCGGGGGCAGGATCCTGTTACAAGAAGAAAAGGTCACGATAAATCTATAAAAAAAATGAACAAAGGCACCAATAGTTCGCCAACAAACCTCACAAAGACCCTGTAGTGTGTTTGCAAAAAAGAAGATGCAGGGGCGAACTTGGCAAGGATGGCTGCAGGTATCATATGTCCCGGCTGTCGCTGCTTCATCTTTGTGAGTTTGTTGGCTGGTCGTGGGGTCATAGCTGAATGCAAAGAAATAGAGCTTTCTGCGTAGAGTCCTTGACAGGAGGTGGAGAAAGTTGTTGTGTACAGAAACATAATTTCGTGATGTCGAGTTGTGGGCCAATAAAACTAAGCTGCTGAAACTAGCAGAAATGCGAAAAGATTGATACAGACCCACGGAGGTAGTCGGCGATGTACAGCTGCCTTAGGGGTCGGCCTCAGACGTGCTTCAATCAATCTAGCATGATCAGGCCTTCACCTTTCCCCTTCGCTGCCCTGCGGTACCTTCGGAAGCGGTAAAGCAAGCTACTGGCTTTTGTAGCGTTGAAGAGCTTTTTCATTGCTGAAGTCCCAGCCGAGAACTGATAAAGCCCCTACCTAGTGAAGAAAGTGCTCATAGAGAGATGCATAGACGTCGCTGTCCCTAAATCGCTTGCTTCCGTGCAAGTGTTGAATTGGTAGACTCAGGCATATTGGAGGTCGGCAGGAAGATGTTGCAATCGTGGCAGCATTGGCCGCGGTGACCATGGCTTAGTCTTGGTGGTGTAATAGCAAGGAACAGAGGAAACTAATGAGAAGGGCGGACAAGACAGCCTGAAATAACACAGTGCCGAGGCTGCAAACACCACGCGACTCGACGTTATAATGACCAGGTTCCCTTTCCAGCACCAACACCTCAAAAGGACTGCTTCTGAACAACTACAACAACTACGGGCAGACACTGTTTGTCTAGCTGTAGATTAGATGCCGATGATTTTATTATTCTGGGGTTGTTGGGCCCCCGTCGAATATGAGAATCGAGACAGTCGGCAGAGAGCAGGCGGACCAGGCGGTGGAAGACAGTGCGAATAGCAGCGCCGCCAAGCCTCCGAGCTGCGCAAGATGATGGTAACGCAACACAATCATTGCTGTGATGCATGGAGTACTGTACCCTAACTCTTCTAAAGTAAGTACTTCCAGAAATCACTGGACTGATCTGTGGACAATCTGTCCAGGGGCCTCCCGTCTCTACCAAGTGCAGGTAGCTATCACTTTGTCTGCAAAATGAGAAATTCGTCTGCATAATTGAACTGGCGTCCAATGCCTTGTTTCACTAGCCGCCACCAGGCAACTCGATTTTCCACCCCAGCATCGTACCACGGCGCCAGGGAGGAGAATCTGCTCAGGTCTCTGCCACAAAAATTGAAAAGCATTCCTCCGAGCATGTGGGTAATCGCATTCCGAGAACAAGAGAGAAAATTAGGACAAATGAAGTATGGTCTTATATGTGACATTTATCCGCTCATTCATGGGGTAATCGATAGGCTGAGAAGCCTTCAAGTAGTTCTCCAGCAGGAGGGCAGGGTAGCCAGTATGGCGCCTATGGGCCAAATGCGTCATCAGTCCCGCAGTGCTTCGAATAACGGCGTTACAAGCTTTCCTGGCCATCCTGCTTGAAAAGCGTTCAGGTGTTTCTAGTAGTCTTGTTAGTGCGCCGCTGGATTGATTCGCCCGCGTTGAGACCAGGGCTTTCGGGATCCTGCAATCACGAAACGAGACCGAGTACAGCTCATATATGTTGCGATATCATTCTAGTCAGAGATACTGGAACCACGTGGTTTGACAGAGTAAATCAAGTGAGAGTCAGACTCAGTAGGGACAGGATTTCCTGGCAATCTAAATACTGCAACGCGTGGTACCTCGCCATCCTATCCTTCACTTATTTAATAATCAAGCAGCCTGATGACCTTTATTTCTGTTGCGATCCTCTGCGCTGCAGTCTTTCCCCTTTAGTTATTTCAGCGTCCCATTTTGGGTCTGAGGGGACGTGATCGCAACTTGAGGGATGTCGGTCAGCGAGTATATCAAGTGGGGGCTTGGTGGGCTCACAGTTCTAGTCACCGTGTTGGACCCAGCTCCAGCTGCCCTCTCCTGCGCCTTGTAGAGGTCCCTCGTACGCTCCCTCGCAGAGATCTTGTGTTGGGTAGGGCTGCCCGCTCTCCACTCCGCCTCTGTGTTGGCCACACTGTCTGACGCGAGTATCATCGACTGCGCAGAAGGCTCGAAAAGTGTGTTCAGACCTGGATCCTCCACAAAGGGGTGATTGTTGGTGCTGTGACTGAGGTTGTCGTACCAGAATTCGGGATTCCATGGCCGCTGCCAGGCGGAGTGCATCGTGTTGTACAAGATTTGGTGCTGGGGCAATGCACCCGTCGGCTGGTCTGATGGATGTGTACTGCTAGAGGGGAACGTCAAATTGTCGAGCGCCGCGATCTGAGAAGAGCTGTGATTGAGTGATGGGAGGGATTGTGATTCCAAATCGGTGGAATACGGTACAAGAGACTGCAAGTCGCCGCCTGGGGTTCTCGAATTTTTCATAGAAACATTCGGTGCGTTCAGTGCTGTACCACAGATTTCTTCCTTGTCGAGGGTATCCCGCGGTTGTTTTATTTCCAGTGCGAATCGACGCACCGGGGAGTAGAGATCAGTCCTGTCCAAGGTGATTTTCATCACGAGCCAGCGCGGTGTCCCAGGGCTTTGCTCTTGATTGAGACACCATAGAGGAAAGCTTTGAAAAAAGGAATCCTTGTGAAGACATGGTGGGGGGCTATCACCGGAGACTTGGTTGTCGGTAGGCGATATGGGGTCACTCACGTGCCAGGTCCATGAGGATGGTAGCTCTGAGTCCAAGAGCTCAAAAGCGATCCTCGCGCCGCAGTCAAAGAGCAAGGTACGAGCACCGCGTTGGTGCTGTTCTGTGAAATTATCGCACTGCATGGAGAAGTAGCTCGTGGGAGGAACAGTAACAGCGAGAAAAGTTCTGCCCATTTCCCAATGTCTTGCAGTCAGTTTAATTCAACTGCGTGATTTCTGTGCCGGGGGAGGGACAGCTCGCTCTAAAATGTATGGAATTAAGACTGCAAGGTACTGCACTCTAGCCCCAATCCTTTACGTTGTGTGACATCCGCCCCAGCCGCGAGACGAAAATTCAAGGCCTGTGATGTCGCTACATCCCTGTGTTAACATACTGACTACCCTTGTGGAACGTCCAAGCCCGTTTGTTGTAGGCATTTAATGTACTGTACAGTACAGTATCAATGAAGCAGAATTGTAACGTATTTCCGCAGAAGAAGACCCGGTTTCGTAAAAAGTCCTGATGCGTGGACTGGTCCAAGCTGGGGAAACAAGCTGCAGGTGTGGCACGATCGGCAAGGTTCCAGGACAGGAGAATAGCATTTGGTGCAGGCCCGGGCGAAACGGCGGGTCTAGACTTTCGTGACGAATTGTGCTGTTGGTGATTGTGTGTGTGTGATGCAGATTCTCCGCTGCTCCGAAAGAGACAACGCAAAAAAAGGGAAAAGTCGGGTTCGAACGCGTGGTTTTGTCAACGGCTAGACACACATTCTGGAAGCGAGGGGAGACCGAACAGGCATGCAAAGCTCCCAGGCGCGTGGCAGGGGAAGCCATACCGCATCGCCGATACATGAGGCCGTAGCAAAACTTTGCTTGTACACCATCTCCTTCGCCTTTTCCGCCGTCTCGGCTCAAGGTGCTGTGAATGACCGAGTGCTCGGGCCGATACGCAGAGTCGGACAATGTGCATGATCGCACCGCTGTTGGGAGCGAATCGGAAGCCAATGCTGCCTGCACGCCCGTCACACAGGCCGCTCGGAGCTACCCAATTAATTATGCGACAATCCACCATGATACTGTATCACTACTACCACACTGTCAAAAGTACCGGCTGGTATGGTATGTCTGATTTGCTTGTCATCAGCCTGATCGCTTCCTTTTGACCTGAGTTTCTGGAGTATCGGTCAAGTTAGTGGCCCGAAATGGCACAAGGGCATAAGCAGTATCAGAGCAGGTTGATCCAGTACGTGACAGCTGTGCAACACTCCGGGCCAACCCCCTGCTTGTGATGGAGGCTGAATGGAACGGGGCTTAATCTGGAAACGAGGATGGGCGATCGTCCTGCAACGGAAGAAGCTCAGCCCAGTACTATCGAGTCGGGGTGCAGGTGGAGTGGCTATGTCCTTAGGACGCATGACGAATCAAATGGGTGCCGAAATCTGTTTAAATGATTTGCTACGATATCATTGGGTACCGGCCGTCTGTCACGCTAGAGAAGTTCGCACCTGGTTCTGCAATGCCAGTTGGCTGGTGCTACGGGCGTATTGCCTGTATCACCGTCGTAGCGCCAAGACGGGCATGCTTCCATTACGCAGTCCAGCCGTGGTGTCGAGTTTGTGCAGCCACTTGATGATCTTCCTGCTGCTTTGCATTGGAGTTGAACTTTTTCGGGCTTACTGCACCTGCACCATCATGACATCAAGTCAAGTCCGTCTCTAAAAATGATCCCAAGATCGTGAGCACACCTTTGAACTCACGTTTCAACTTTAGTAGTGTCGTCTGCTGTCTCTGACCAATCCCACAATTTCACCCACCAATTTCTAATTGTACCATTTCCAGGGGCTTGGGACGGCTGACCAGTGTATGCGGAGACCTAGCAGTGCCAGGCGGTCCAGTTGGGTTTGCGCTCGTGCCATCGTGCAGATCCTAGGATTTCTCGAATCCGTTGAAAACGACCATGCTCACGGCTGTAGGCACAACAGTCTTTGGGTGTCGACTGAGGACTTTTGCTACCTCATTTATGAAGACACGCACCATCTATCAACAACCGGTCCTTCTCGAGAGGATGGTACCAAGCCTGGAGGACTGATTGCGTGGGAGCCAGATAACTTGAGTGATTGGATATTGGTGTCGAACCTGGCACACTGGTGACAGCGTTTGCGATGTTGTTGGAAGTTGAGCACTCCATTGTTACCGCCAAGGTACAGTACAGTATTTCGGTGCAGTAAATGCTTTCAAAAGTACAGTACAGTAATTGCAAAGGAAAGAATGAACGTCCGATTCGATCATCACGGTCAAGCTCCTCCGTATCCTCCAAAGCATAAGGGGAGCAGTGTTGTCCGCGATGCTGGAATCAGAGACCACCAGTCATGATTTGCTGATGAATGAAGAGAACAGTCAGCAGGCATTCAGCCTTGCGATCCGCGGTCGGTGCGTCGGAGTCAATTGGCCAAGTCAAACAAGGCCGGGGCGCCCTGATAGGTGTTCAAAGGCCCACTACATGCCATCGGTTCCTTTGTTCTTGTCACTACTTGCTGCATTGCTCTCGTTGGTTATCGCGAAACTGTCACAACAAACTTCGACGCTAAATCTTAGCAACTCCACCGATTGGACGCCGATCTAGGATCGTAAAGTACCGTAAGCGAGCCACATCCCCGGCAGCCTTCGGGCCCCTTGTTGTGAATCATTCAACAGAGAAACAAATACTACTGGAAGCCGTGGTGGTGGGGGGGTGTCGTGCATCGAGGAGCTCCTGAAATGTCGAACAAAGGATGGTTGATCTCGCACGTAAATCAAGGGGTCCGAATCAGGAGACAAATCAGGTCTAGTATGATACTCTCTCTCGTCTACCGGCGAATGGTATTTCGAATACTGGATGTCCATCGTGGCGGATCAGAAAGTTATACCCCGGGTGCTGGGCGCGCCCCCTCTGCGAATGTTACCCTTAACCCACCAACATGCATTGCAAGGCCATCATGTGAGACGATGCGCACCTGCTATTTGCTGCATTTTGGACTGTTGGTGATGAAAATCGTACCGTGCTGGCGCCTTTGGGTAGTATTGGTGTGGCAGATTCTCAAAATGATTGGCCCTGGTGCATTATGGCAGTGTTCGCAGGAAGCGTCCTGGATGATCTAGTTAGACTATCGAATACTATGCGAAATGTGGTACAGTACTTCGTGTGCATCAGAAGGACCAAATGTGGTATGATGAACTTCAATTTGGAATAGCCCTTAAAGGATCCCGTGACAATATTTGCCAGACAGAATCTGGGGTTCTTCCATGATTATAGCCTAGACTATACGATGGATGCTTAGTCAGAACCAGAGCACACTCATATTTCACTGGATCCGACCATGATGAATCTCATCTCAAATTTACGAAGGAGAATTCGAGGGCAGTGACAACATATTTGACTCGCAGACTTGGAGGCCACCGGGATGCCATGCTCACGCAAGCCAGACGACGTGATTGCCTCAACGACATAAGGGAACGTTGTGTTTTCTTGCCTGCACGTCTTCACATGAAGCTCAAAGCTGGGGACAGCCCGCAGCCTCGTGTTGAAAGACCAGAAACATCCCGCGATAGCAACACGACTTTCCATACTGCTAAGCTCTCAAAGTTATCCAGGTGCAAGTTTTGTCAATCCTGAGTCACTCGGGAACCCAATCGCTACATAAATATTGACAGTTTTGACTGATTGTGAATTTTGGCCCGGTTGTGTCGACCAATCACATCACTAGTGTCGGAAAATGTCCTAGGTAGAGGTACATAGACACCCAAGGGTGCCAGAAGCCCTGATTTGTCCCGAGATATATAGTTGAATTTAAATACTTGTACGTACTGTAGTACTGATTGATCAGTATGGAAACGACTCTACTGTAAGACGCCCGAAGAAATTTACGAACCCGAGGTGCCGGGGACTGTGGACTGTTTAGTCCTTCCGAGGAAGTCGGAGTGGCTCGACAGACCGGTGTTCCGGGAGTTTAAAACGATGGCTACTGAAATAAAATGTAAGAATGAGTAAAACCTTTGAACTGTACTATTACTTATAAGCCTAGTACCGGGTAGTGAGGCGAAGACCCGATATCTTGAGAGCAACGATGATAGCCTCTCTGGGACTTTGAAGAAGATTGCATTGGTTGACGAGGACGAGACGCAACAAGCAACAAGAGGTGGTTGGGAATGATTTCTAGTAGCTTCTCGTCAGTCTTCTTGCTCTCGGAGTTTGTATATCCCTTAGTGGTCCGCTCTGGAAGCGCAAGTTCTGCGTTCATCGTTCCTTGCTCGGTGGGTCCAGAGGTGCCCAGTATTGAATCTGATGCTAGTGCCATTTAATGTGCCGATGAAGCTGCCTCCAGTCATCAATCGAACAGTGACATTTGAACATGGGAAGGAGTATGCACCAATTCATGATATCGAAATTATTTTTAAAACAT